ATATATATATATATATATATATATATATATATATATATATATATATATATATATATATATATATATATATATATATATGTTAATTCAAACTTAAATATGTTTGAACATGAATTGTGGTTGGATAGAATATCAGCGAAATTGAAGATTTGTAAGTTAAAAAATACACAACTTGCTCAATTTAAATGGGATGACAAGGAACATCCTCCATGTTTATCGCACTCATTGGTTTCACAACCTTTTTTATAACCATTTCGTCGTCTAACAAATTTGTTTAGGTGAATACACCTCTCGTAGACGCGTAAGGGTTCAATAAAAAGACATAAAATGACTAAACTTGAATTTAATAGTCCATGTGGTAGTCTTTCATTGGAGATCATATTTAGGACCTCCGAATCAGTTTGTAGCTACTGAATTATGTGTTGTTAATCAATCATCAACCGTTTTTAACAACAACAATCACCTAACTAATAAGAAACTTTCATATATAAAGCTAAAAATGGAGTAGTTCAAATTTTTTGTTAAATCTCTCATAATTTCAGCAAAAAAACAAAAAGAAAAACAAAAAGAAGATGAACCGCAATGGTGAATGTGAATTCACATTCGAGTTTCATTCTTACCTAAAAACATAAAGGCATAATACATATATTGGACCTTAAACTTGACTCAATGTTTAACTTTGACCTCCAACTTTCCATAATGTACAAATAGACACTTTAATTATCCAACTTTTAAATAAATAAACACATGAGTCCTACATGACACAATACATGTAAGACACCACGTAGGACAAAAATGACATGTAGGACATGTGTGTCTATTTTTTCAACTTTATACAAGTTTAAGAGTATACTTGTGCACATTCAAAGTTGAAGGACATAAATGTGATCTGAAGCCAAGTTAAAGGGCATATTTAACTTGTGAATACTATTTGTTGCTTTTTTTTTCTATTTGAAGGCATTTAATGTAAATTCCAATTTTGAAATTTACTAAAAATAGAAACTTTACATAATTGATTTTTAAATTATTATTTTGATTAGGTTTATTATTTACAGGAAAAAAAAATGAATCTACAGTTCTTTATTGCGTGCTCTGCACCACCTTGACATAAAATGACTATGACTTTTTAGGGAGGTGATTATTTCATATTTAAATAGTTAATGGGTGATAGGACTCCCGTATAGAATAAATGTGTAGTTGAGAATTGGATAATAGGTTGATGGGCATTTAACTATTTTCTCTTTCCAAAAAAATACTTTAAGTGGGAGTGTGAAAAATAAAGATGATTTTTTGGAGGTACAAAAAATAATTTAGATATTTAGTAGAACTTTCTAGAATTTGATAGAGTAAATATCTTTGATATTTGTATGTAAGAAAATTCTAGATGTTCTAGATAATTAGATATTTATAATAAAATATAGAATAATCTAGATTCTTAGAAGGTAAGAATACCTAGATTTTTTCAAATGTATCTAGGATGATTTCTAGAAGTATTTCTTCATTGGTATAAATAGGGATGACCATAGCCATATGTAACTAACCCACAAAAACTCAAATCAAATAGTCTTCTTT